TCCATCACATGAGCATGAGCTGGCGCCTTGGTTTCTGCCTTGCCTTGTGCGATCTCGCGTGAGAACGCTGGTCTGTGGGGGGTGAAACGTTGGCGTGGAGCACCAGAGGTGTCCTCGCGGCATCACAACATTGTTAGGAGATGGCAGCCGCGGCTAGACCTCTCGGATGCAGTAGGTCGCGGGATGTCGAGCGAGCTCCGCCAAGAAGACGGCTTCCGGTATCTGCTCTGCTCTGCGGGTACAAGCCAGGGAGTCCAACCTGAAGATCTTCTCATGGAAATATCGATATGCCACCCAGTGTGCGTTGTCCCGGTTCTGCACCGCCCCGGCAGCTGCTTCCAGATCGTGCTTGCTCACGACGGGTTGAAGGTCCATTTGCCACCTCACACGACCAAAAGCAGCCATGGCCTTGGTTTGCAGTACCTGCGCAAGCACTTCCGAGGAGTAGAAGCCACCTGGCGCCGCGTGGTCCTCTGCAGCTTCACCTCGTTCCACCCCACCTTCTTCGAGGACAACCTGCACGGCGTTGTCCATGTCCGCTTCAGTGAAGAAGGCTGCCCCCAAGGCCATGTTCAGGGCGTGCATGCCGCAGAGAGCTTGCTCTTGCGCCTCAAAATACAGGCCTGCAGGTGCGTCTTGATCGGGTCGGCTGCCTGTCCGTTGCATCTTGGCCAAAGACCCGGCCGCGCAAGAGCTTTCTGCAGCCCGTTTGCCTAGGCCCATGAAGACGAACTTTGCTTTGCATTTTGCTTTGGCCTTTGCTTTGCTTTTGGCGTTCGTCTTGGCTGGTGGCTTGGCCGGGCACTTGCGCTTATGAGCCTTGATGGCAGCTTTGGTGTTGGGAGCCTCCGTGCCGCATAGTGCACAACACCAGGGCCGCTCGATGCGCTCGCCGTGGTCTGGCTTGAGACGGTTCCAGTCGGGCGTCCCCATCTCAGCTAGTCGTCTTTCATAGAACTCCTTGTTCTGCTCCGGCTTGAACAACGCCTTCCAGAGATCCGGGCCGTCCCGGTCGGCTTGCTGCGCCTTCAGCTTGGTCAGGGCCCACTCTGCGTTGGCGTTGAACCGCAAAGCCTTGGGGTTGAAGAGCTCCAAGCTGCAGAGTGCCTGTTCGGGGCAGCGGCTCAGGGCGACGTAGGCTTGACCTTCTGCGAAGATGGTGTGATCGAGGCGGGTATGCGCTCCGTCCTTACAGGTAGCTGCCTGGCTCTTGTGGATCGAGATGGCTTTGGCGAGAACGAGCGGGAATTGATGCCTCGATGCCTTGCTGCCGTCTCTGTCAAGGTACGTGGCCGAGCGCCTCGAGATTGCCACGCAGGAGGTTTCGTGCTCTGCTCGCCAAGTGGCCCCAGCATTCTTCTCGAAAGAAACCCAGATCCTCTCGACTTCCCCGCCGGCTTTCTCGGTGTCAATGTGCTCCACCGTGCCACAGGCGCCATTGACCAAGCCATCTCGCACGTCGATGTTGTATCTGAGCATGACACGGAGCCCAATGGCCACCTGCAGCAGGCCTACCAAGCCACCCGTGTTCTCCGGCTCGGCCCAGACGGCATCTGGAGACAGCGGCACACCGGTCTTGACGTTGGTGTCGACAGCTGGGCAATCGTGTAGCTGTTCTCCTGTGTTCAAGACGTGCTCTTCCTTGTAGCGGCGGTTGCTTTCGGCGACTGCTTGGCGAGTGGCGTATAGGTTCACGGCTTTCGGGGCGGGCCGCTTCTTGCTGCCTTTCTTGATCACCATATTCCGCAGCACCTCAATGTCGGCGTCGGTCTGCTGTCCCACCCGAACGCGTGCCAGCAGAGCGGCCCAGGCTGGGTCGCGTGCGGCCCGCTGGTTTCCTTCTAACTCGCAGAGCTGGAAGAGCAGCCAAAGCCGGCTGGCGAAGGCCGGCAGCCCGCTTGGTGGAGGCAACTGATACAGGTCCCCGGCAAAGATGACGTGCAGTCCTCCGAAGGGCAGGGTTTGCAGATCTCTGGCAAGACGGAGATGCTGATCCAGACGCTCCAACATCCAGGAGGGGATGAAGCTCATCTCGTCAACGAACAGAACGCTGACCTTCGACCAGATGTCTCTGAGAGTGGCTAACTTCTGGCGGTCCGGCAGCGGCATGTCGCAGGCCTTGCCGTGGCTTTGGTTCACTACGGGGAGCAAGCAACATTGATGGAGGGTGACACCGTTGATGTTGAATGCTGCCACACCCGTGGGCGCCGCTATGATGCATCCTTTCTTGCTTTGCCGCAGGACGTGAGCTGCTGCGCGTACCACCACGGACTTGCCGCTGCCGCCGGGCCCGTGGAGGAGCATGTGCAGACGCTGAGTATTCTGCGTGTCCTTGGTGTTCGGCTGCCTCAGAACTGACTGGACTATGTGCTCCATGGCTTGGCACTGGCGCGTGGTCTCCGGGCAGGGGTTCTCAACCGTCAACATCTCGAATGATTCTTCGCCTTCCTCGACCGGCGCAAAGGCATTGAGGGCAGCTCCGGTGGGCACAGAGTCCGGGGCCAGGAAGTCGATGTCTCCTCCATACCGCTCCTTCAGTGCCTCCAATATTTGCAAGGAATCCTTGTAGTTCTCCTCGGCAACCTTGCTGTTGGCCCAGCCGTCCCGCAGGTTTGCCGGATGCATCTTGGCCTTCATGTACATCGTCGCTTGTACGGCCTGCAGCTTGCGGGCGGCGTCGACGGTGCCATCTAGCTGAGGGAAGCATCTCGACCGAAGGAAGTCTGGGTGGCCGCGCACGTCTCGGGCGATGCGCTGGAACGCTGCTGCATGGCTTCCTGCATCCTGCTCCAACAGCCAATCTCCAGGTTCCTTCCACACCAGGTGCAGCAGCAACTTGGAGTAGTAGAAAGCTTCGGCCTCCTCGTCCGGGTTGAAGTTCTGGTAGCCGACGATTGCAGGGCGCCTGCGAGGCTGTGGTTCTTGCACGCCGATGTACTTGAAAGCCGCGCAAAAGTCCAGGAAGGTGACTTCACTAAACCGACAGGAAACCGGCTCCCTGCCTTCCACTGGCAAGGTCGTCTCATGTTCACCGAAGGTGGTTTGCATTTCCCGGTACCAGTGATGAGCAACAGGCAGGTTCCCACCTTGGCGCATCTTCTTGTTGCGGTAGTCAGTGGGCTGCTGCAAGGCCACCTGTTCCTCATGCTTGGGCACCCACACTGTCCAGGTGTCTGGAGGCCCCACCTGTACCCAGACGTTGTCCCTGGAGAATTCGATGATCGGGAAGCCCAGCAGAAGGTGGCATGCCTCGAAGGTCGACGTGGTCCTGCCCTGCAACGCCGCGTGGGCTGCCTTGTAGATCTTCTGATTGTCGAGGCCGGCGCCTGCGCTCTGACTTGTTAGGATGGCAAGGATGTTTTCCATTCGCCGCTGCGCTTCGCGATCCTCCTCCGACTTGAAAGTGTAGCCCAGTATGTACCGACTCGCGCTGGTGAGCTCGCAGATGACCTGCAGGTCCATGCTTGCCCTCCACCTTCTCAATATTCGAATGTTGTATTGTCCCATCATGCTGTCTCCCTTCACTCGTCTCGTCGCAAGGCTGCTCTTCCAGCGGCTGTTGGCGTACTGCTCCTGCGATGTTCGACGCCGAGTCCGGGGCTCTGCATCATGTGGAAATCCAAATCGACAGGCGCCTTCTGAGTACATGCCGCAATATGGCGTGTGGTTGTGCACCACCTCTGCGGACAGCTTTGCGTTCACTTCTCTATCTCTGGGTGGTACGCGGTGGGATTGGCGCCACGTGTTCGGGGACTTGGTGCAGATGTACTTGTCGCTGAGGTCCTCCGCACACTTGGGGATGAAGTTCTCCATGGCCTCTTCGTCAGACCAGTCTGGAACCGGTGTCTCTGCTGCTTGTTCGGAGTCTTCGCCGTCGGGCGCCATCTTGTCTGGCTGCTGCGTTGCTTTGGCCCACTCTTCGATCCAAAGCAGGATGTGAGCGTGGGGGTAGCCCCGCTTTTGCCATTCTATGCGAATGATGTAGTCCAACACTTTGAAAGGAGGCCGTTCCTTGCGCATGCGGCGATGAAGGCCTGCAAAATCCGTGGCGGGTGCCTGGGCGTCGTCCTCCACGTCCTCGCAGTCGTTCTCCTCGACTCCATCTTGTGGATCAGCATCTTCGTGCAGGTGGACTTTCGGACCGCGCGTGCTGGACAGCCACCACATCAGCTGAGAGACTTGGTGCATGAATTGTCGCGCTACCACTGCCGGCTGCTGGTTGCACAACTGGTTGGGCGACAACCCATCCCAAGTGAAGTTCTTGTCATTCTGGTAGCGGAATAGGATCTCCGCAGCGTGCTGCTCCAGTTCTGCCTGAGGGCGGTCGGGATGCAGCCGCAGCAGCCGTGCCGAGATAGCCGCGAGGAGCAACGCAGGCTGGCGCGCGTGGCAGGACAGTGTCATGAAGAAGTTGGGAGCGCCAAGCTGCTCGTACATGTTGAGCGCCACTCCCTTCTTGGCGTACAGGTACGGCTGCGTGCCAGGCATGTCCCGCAAGGCAGCATACACCTGACGGCTACCGTTCTCGTAGTCGCTACTGCCGTAGGGCACCCGCTGGTTGCCGATCCGGACGTTGATGTTTCCGGAAAGTCGCTTCTTGGTCTGCATCTCCAGCAGCCACATGATGTAGGCCGTGGACGCTTCGAAGCGGGAATCCAGGCTCAGCAGACGCTTCCGGGCATATTGGGAAAAGCTTCCGTTGTCGTTCTTCCAGCCTCCTGTGCCGGTGGGAAACAAGTGTGGGAAGAATTTTGCATCCATGCCATCGCTGAGGTCTGCGGATCCTCGCACTTTTCGCAAATCTTGTACGTCGGCTTTTGGGGCCTGGAATTGCTTCGGCACCAGGTATGTCATCTCGATCTCTTGGTTTGCTTCTGTTCCCGCAAGTGGGTCTGTTGGCACCGCAGCCGCAGCGGATGTCTTGTTGGCGAGGATGGCAGCCATTCTCGCCAGAGCTCTGTCCACTGCCGGGCTCCGTTGATAGAGGCAGTGCCGTTCCTTCAAGGCCTGCAAGGCCGCGTGTAGGTGCTCCAAACGCGCTGGTGATGCGGTCATGCCGTCCACGCCCTCGACCAGCACTGTACCGTCTTCTTCCAAAGTGGCGCCTTCGAGGACGTCGCAGATGCAAGGATCCTGCATGAGCACTGCGTACATGCGACCCCACTGCGCGCTCGGGCCGCCTGATGGCAGCTTGTCCAACAAGACCTGCGAGATGCGTGCCATGGCGAGGAGATGCTGCTCGATGGGTTGCAGACTTTGCAGTGCTTCTGGGATGGGGGCCGGGATTGGCAAAACCACCTTGGTGCGATTCTCGCGGCAATTCCTGCAGAGCAGCTGGCCACTTCCTTTGGCTGTTCTGCAGTGCCTCCCTGGTGGTAGAGTCTGGCACTTCTGGCACACGCGAGAAAGGCCAAATCTACTCCAGCTCCGCGCAAAAGCCAAGTAATGGGCTTGTGCCTGCTCCTGGGGCAAGGTGTCCTCGTCTGGAAAAGGGTAGCCCTGCTGCTGAATCTCCGAGGCGATGGGCCTGGGCCCTCGGCCGCCCACTCCCTCCTCTGCCTTTGCCCGCTCCCTTGCCTCACGCAGCTGTCGGCGCTCTTCTTCTTTGCTGTCTTCTTCCCGCAAAGGTCCACGGCCGCCCGCTTCCTCCTCTGACTTTGCCCGCGCCCTTGCCTCACGCAGCTGTCGGCGCTCTTCCCTTTTGCCGTCTTCTTCCCGCAAAGGTCCACGGCCGCCCGCTTCCTCCTCTGCCTTTGCCCGCTCCCTTGCCTCACGCAGCTGTCGGCGCTCTCCCTCTTTGCCGTCTTCTCCCCGCAAAGGTCCACGGCCGCCCGCTTCCTCCTCTGCCTTTGCCCGTGCCCTTGCCTCACGCAGCTGTCGGCGCTCTTCCCTTTTGCCGTCTTCTTCCCGCAAAGGTCCACGGCCGCCCGCTTCCTCCTCTGCCTTTGCCCGCGCCCTTGCCTCATGCAGCTGTCGGCGCTCTGCTTCTCTGCTGTCTTCTTCCCGCAAAGGTCCACGGCCGCCCGCTTCCTCCTCTGCCTTTGCCCGCGCCCTTGCCTCACGCAGCTGTCGGCGCTCTGCTTCTTTGCTGTCTTCTTCACGCAAAGGTCCACGGCCGCCTGCTTCCTCCTCTGCCTTTGCCCGCGCCCTTTCCTCATGCAGCTGTCGGCGCTCTGCCTTTCTGCTGTTCTCTTCGCGCAAGGGTCCACGACTGCCCGCTCCCTGCGCTGCCCGTTGTTGCTGCCAAACAATTTTCTCTGCGCTCTTCTGGGCCAGGCACTCCTCTTTTTCGGCTTGGCGGCACTGCGGATTGCTGCACCATCCCTGTCCTCTGCCGCTCCTTGTCCCGAAGCCGCACCGATGACAAGGGGCCATGGCAACGAATCCTGAATCCTCAGATTTTGCACCTAGGGGCTGTATCCGAAACACTGCAGCAGGCTCAGTGAAGCAACTTGAGAAGCCATGCTCGAGCACTTACAAAGCTGTCCTGCCTTTGCTCGCTGCTCAGTTTCTTTCTCGTGGCACACACTGGAGCTCTGCAGGCTTGTCTTGCTGAGACATAACGTACTCACATGGGCAGCTCTACGGGCCTGTGGCTTTCTCTGAGATGTAGACAACTTGCACGTGCACGACGTCGTTGCTCAAGCTGTGACCCAACAGTTCACGCCAGCTCCAGGTGTCTGTGATCACGCCCCCGCCCAAGACCAGCTTCGTGGTGTCGAGGGGGATGGGTCCTGCAGGACCGCTGTCCAAATCGTGAAGCAAGACTTCCCTGGCGCTGCGATATTGCAGCGTTTCCGCCGGGATAGGCTTCTTAATTTCTTGTCGTCTGAGACGTAGTTGGCGCAGGGAGAGACGGCGATCTGGGCTGTTTCCTTCGTGCAAAGTGTGCAGCCAGGCTTCCCGGAAAGACTCGCACGGTTCGACATGGCAGAGTGGATAAGGCTTCGAGGTGTGGATTTCGCTACCTTGCATGTTCAGGTACTTCACAGTCATGTTGGCGAGACGCTGGCGGTATTCATTCTGGATTTCCATTTCTTTGCTCCACTGTACTCTCTCACGCGCATCTTCCTCGGCTTCGCGCTGCATCTCACTGTCGACCCAGTCCCAGTCGTCGAACCCGTCCTCGAAGTCCGCCTGTTCGGAGTCGCGAATCGAGTGGTCTCTGCTCTCCAAGTCCTCGCACGTGTCTTCGAGCATGCTGTCGCACCAGTCGACCTGAGAAACAAGACAGCGGCCATGTTCCAAAAACGAAACGAACAGCTGCGACGATTGAGATTTGTACCCCAATGGTTGCCTGGCCGCAGCGGGACACGGATGAAGACTTTAAAACGATTCGAATTGAGCCCAAGCGCGCTGCACAAGCAACAAAAAGCACGGGAAGGCTCGGCCGTCCCTACCTTCTCACAAGCTCAAGAAAGAGGTGCAACATGGCTCAACAATGCACAGAAGAAGCGAGTAGCCCATGACCGGCCGTTTCTGTGGAATTTTGAGAGTCAGAGCGAATGAAGATTGGCGTGAAACAGATGTTCTGCCAGCGACTGCTTGTGCCGTAGCCTGCATCGCGGCAGCTTTTCTAAGAGAAGAAACGGTCCGGCCACTGGCTGCTCTTCTGGCTGCCATCGTCCGTTGATCAGGATTGCCAGATGCGTCTGCCGCGACAGTGCTTCGTGACTATGGGCTTCAGATCCCATGGCTGAGATGACGTCGCCGACCGTGACGTTCTGAAGGGCCTAGAAGCTCACAGGTCGAAACAGCATGGCAATACGGTATTTGTGGGCTTCCGGTTCATTCAGCCCAGCAGCTGTCCAGCGCACAGAGCCTGCGACGTGGCCGGCCATGGTCCGCAAATTTGCGATCGGGCCACCGTCCCACTTCAGCTCGCAGTTCAGGCCCCCCAACAGCCGCAGCGGTTGGCCATTGCAACTCGCATCAGTTGAGCTGAGAAACAAGGGATGCGAAATGCTCTCAAGACCTTTTGCGGTGACAGAGGCTTGCGCCCGAAATGGCTGTGGATGAAGACTTAAGGCTGTTCATATTGAGCCAAAGCGCACGGTGTGAGCGGTAAACGCTGGCCCCTATTCAGGTTGAGGCAAGCAAACAGGAATTGCTGGTGTCAGGACTTTGTGTTGACTGAAGCGACTCGGCTGCACCCCATTCTGGTTGAGCATAAGCACCTGGCACATGGCCCCCATTCAGGTTGAGGACAAGCAAACGTGGTTCTCCTTCATAAAATGCACCAGCGTAAGGGTTTCCAGCTCTTGGAAGGCCTTGCCAGGTAGTTCTCTTTCATAGAATGCACCAGGATAAGGATTTCCAGCTCTTGGAAGGCCTTGCCAGGTAGTTCTCCTTCATAAATGCACCAGGATAAGGATTTCCAGCTCTTGGAAGGCCTTGCCAGGTAGTTCTCCTTCATAAAATGCACCAGAATAAGGATTTCCAGTTCTTGGAAGGCCTTGCCAGGTAGTTCTCCTTCATAAAATGCACCAGGATAAGGATTTCCAGCTCTTGGAAGGCCTTGCCTTTTCCAGCTCGCGGAAGGCCTTTCCAGGTAGCTCTTTCATAAAATGCACCAGGATAAGGATTTCCAGCTCGCGGAAGGCCTTTCCAGGTAGTTCTCCTTCATAAAATGCACCGGATAAGGATTTCCAGGTCGCGGAAGGCCTTTTCAGGTAGTTCTCCTTCATAAAATGCACCAGGATAAGGATTTCCAGCTCTTGGAAGGCCTTTCCAGGTAGTTCTCCTTCATAAAATGCACCGGATAAGGATTTCCAGCTCGCGGAAGGCTTTTCCAGGTAGTTCTCCTTCATAAAATGCACCAGGATAAGCATTTCCATCTCGCGGAAGGCCTTTCCAAGTAGTTCTTCTTCAGAAAAAAGCACCAGGATAAGGATTTCCAGCTCGCGGAAAGCCTTTCCAGGTAGTTCTCCTTCATAAAATGCACCAGGATAAGGATTTCCAGCTCGCGGAAGGCATTTCCAGGTAGTTCTCTTTCATAAAATGCACCAGGATAACGATTTCCAGCTCGCAGAAGGCCTTTCCAGGTAGTTCTCCTTCATAAAATGCACCAGGATAAGGATTTCCAGCTTGCGGAAGGCCTTTCCAGGTAGTTCTCCTTCATAAAATGCACCAGGATAAGGATTTCCCTTTCCAGGAAGTTATCCTTCATAAAATGCACCAGGATAAGGATTTCCAGCTCTTGGAAGGCCTTTCCAGGTAGTTCTCCTTCATAAAATGCACCAGGATAAGCATTTCCAGCTCGCGGAAGGCCTTTCCAAGTAGTTCTTCTTCAGAAAAAAGCACCAGGATAAGAATTTCCAGCTCGCGGAAAGCCTTTCCAGGTAGTTCTCCTTCATAAAATGCACCAGGATAAGGATTTCCAGCTCGCGGAAGGCATTTCCAGGTAGTTCTCTTTCATAAAATGCACCAGGATAAGGATTTCCAGCTCGCAGAAGGCCTTACCAGGTGGTTCTCCTTCATAAAATGCACCAGAATAAGGATTTCCAGCTCGCGGAAGGCCTTTCCAGGTAGTTCTCCTTCATAAAATGCACCACGATAAGAGCCTTTCCAGGTAGTTCTCCTTCATAAAATGCACCAGGATAAGGATTTCCAGCTCTTGGAAGGCCTTGCCAGTTAGTTCTCCTTCATAAAATGCACCAGAATAAGGATTTCCAGTTCTTGGAAGGCCTTGCCAGGTCGTTCTCCTTAATAAAATGCACCAGGATAAGGATTTCCAGCTCTTGGAAGGCCTTGCCAGGTTGTTCTCCTTCATAAAATGCACCAGGATAAGGATTTCCAGCTCGTGGAAGGCCTTGCCAGGTAGTTCTCCTTCATAAAATGCACCAGGATAAGGGTTTCCAGCTCTTGCAAGGCCTTGCCAGGTAGTTCTCCTTCATAAAATGCACCAGGATAAGGATTTCCAGCTCTTGGACGAGGTAGTTCTCCTTCATAAAATGCACCAGGATAAGGATTTCCAGCTCTTGGAAGGCTTTGCCAGGTAGTTCTCCTTCATAAAATGCACCAGGATAAGGATTTCCAGCTCTTGGAAGGCCTTGCCAGGTAGTTCTCCTTCATAAAATGCACCAGGATAAGGATTTCCAGCTCTTGCAAGGCCTTGCCAGGTAGTTCTCCTTCATAAAATGCACCAGGATAAGGATTTCCAGCTCTTGGAAGGCCTTGCCAGGTAGTTTTCCTTCATAAAATGCACCAGGATAAGGATTTCCAGCTCTTGGAAGGCCTTGCCAGGTAGTTCTCCTTCATAAAATGCACCAGGATAAGGATTTCCAGCTCTTGGAATGCTGCCAGGTAGTTCTCCTTCATAAAATGCACCAGGATAAGGATTTCCAGCTCTTGGAAGGCCTTGCCAGGTAGTTCTCCTTCATAAAATGCACCAGGATAAGGATTTCCAGCTCTTGGAAGGCCTTGCCAGGTAGTTCTCCTTCATAAAATGCACCAGGATAAGGATTTCCAGCTCTTGGAAGCAGCTTTGCAGCCGATTCGCCCGGGATTCTCCTTAATTGGTTGGCGATAAGCTTACCAGCTGAGATTTGCAGCCGAGTCGCCTGGGATTCTCCTTAATTGGTTGGCGAGAAGCTTTCCAGCTGGGATTTGCAGCCGAGTCGCCTGGGATTCTCTTCATTGGTTGGCGATAAGCTTTCCAGCTGAGATTTGCAGCCGAGTCGCCCGGGATTCTCCTTAATTGGTTGGCGATAAGCTTTCCAGCTGAGATTTGCAGCCGAGTCGCCTGGGATTCTCCTTAATTGGTTGGCGATAAGCTTTCCAGCTGAGATTTGCAGCCGAGTCGCCCGGGATTCTCCTTAATTGGTTGGCGAGAAACTTTCCAGCTGAGATTTGCAGCCGAGTCGCCGGGATTCTCCTTAATTGGTTGGCGATAAGCTTTCCAGCTTTGCAGCCGAGTCGCCCGGGATTTTCCTTAATTGGTTGGCGATAAGCTTTCCAGCTTTGCAGCCGAGTCGCCTGGGATTCTCCTTAATTGGTTGGCGATAAGCTTTCCAGCTGGGATTTGCAGCAGAGTCGCCTGGGATTCTCCTTAATTGGTTGGCGATAAGCTTTCCAGCTTTGCAGCCGAGTCGCCCGGGATTCTCCTTAATTGGTTGGCGATCAGCTTTCCAGCTTTGCAGCCGAGTCGCCCGGGATTCTCCTTAATTGGTTGGCGATAAGCTTTCCAGCTGGGATTTGCAGCCGAGTCGCCCGGGATTCTCCTTAATTGGTTGGCGATAAGCTTTCCAGCTTTGCAGCCGAGTCGCCCGGGATTCTCCTTAACTGGTTGGCGATAAGCTTTCCAGCTGGGCTTTGCAGCCGAGTCGCCTGAGATTCTCCTTAATTGGTTGGCGATAAGCTTTCCAGCTTTGCAGCCGAGTCGCCCGGGATTCTCCTTAATTGGTTGGCGATAAGCTTTCCAGCTGGGATTTGCAGCCGAGTCGCCCGGGATTCTCCTTAATTGGTTGGCGATAAGCTTTCCAGCTTTGCAGCCGAGTCGCCTGGGATTCTCCTTAATTGGTTGGCGATAAGCTTTCTAGCTTTGCAGCCGAGTCGCCTGGGATTCTCCGTAATTGGTTGGCGATAATCTTTTCAGCTTTGCAGCCGAGTCGCCCGGGATTCTCCTCAATTGGTTGGCGATAAGCTTTCCAGCTGGGATTTGCAGCCGAGTCGCCCGGGATTCTCCTTAATTGGTTGGCGATAAGCTTTCCAGCTTTGCAGCCGAGTCGCCCGGGATTCTCCTTAATTGGTTGGCGATAAGCTTTCCAGCTGGGATTTGCAGCCGAGTCGCCTGGGATTCTCCTTAATTGGTTGGCGATAAGCTTTCTAGCTTTGCAGCCGAGTCGCCTGGGATTCTCCTTAATTGGTTGACGATAAGCTTTCCAGCTGGGATGTGCAGCCGAGTCGCCCGGGATTCTCCTTAATTGGTTGGCGATCCTGGCAGTTTTCCTTCATAAATTGCACCAGGATAAGAGGCCTTTCCAGGTAGTTCTCCCTCGTGAAATGCACCAAGAAGGCCTTTCCAGGTAGTTCTCCTTCATGAAATGCACCAGGATAAGGATTTCCAGCTCTTTGAAGGCCTTTCCAAATAATTCTCCTTCATAAAATGCACCAGGATAAGGATTTCCAGCTCTTTGAAGGCATTTCCAGGTAGTTCTCCTTCGCAAAAAAAGCACCAGGATTTCCAGCTATTTGAAGACAGGATAAGGATTTCCAGCTTTTTTTTCAAGGCCTTTCCATGTAGATGTGATCAGAATGCAGCGTGTTCCCTTCCCTAATTGGGTCGGGATGTGATCAGGGCCGCGCAACCAAGGTAGCCCTGCATTCCCCTCTCTAGTTGGGTCGGGATGTGATCAGGGCCTGTAAATGCAGGCACAGAGCCTTGCGTTCCCCTCCCTAGTTGGGTCGGGATGTGATCAGGGCCGGTAAATGCAGCCAAGGAGCCTTGCGCTGCGCTCGCTTCTCTAAAGAATGCTCAGTGATAAGCAATCTCAGGTGCTGTTTGGGAGTTTTGAAATGGGCTTTCAGAAATGCAGCTCAAAGCATGCTTGCAGGACTGTTTGCAGCCAGGCTTGCTCTCCTCTAAAGAATGCTCAGTGATAAGCAATCTCAGGTGCTGTTTGGGAGTTTGAAATGGGTTTCAGAAATACAGCTCAAAAACATGCTTCCAGGATTGTCTGCAGCCAGGCTTGTTCTTCTCTAAAGAATGCTCAGTGATAAGCAATCTCAGGTG